CTGGTCATCTCCTACAAATTTGTGCTTAAACTTATTTTAATGGAAGCACTTAGTCACACGGTACTGAAGAACACTTCTACTTTATGCTTATAATCAGTGGTGGGATTCAAATATGTGAACAACCGGTTCTCTGTGTGGATGCCACTACCGGAAGTCCATTCTGGGCCTGGGCAATAAAAAATTAGCTACCAGTTCTGCCGAAGTGGTGCGAACCGACTGAATCTCACCACTGCTTATAATCCAAAAAAGTAGCAAGATGAACTCCTAAATATGGCTTGATGTTTCAGTATGTTATAAGGGAAACTACTTATTGCATTAGTGTAACTAAAAACACATGATTCCAAAAATTGCATCACATACTCAGTGAACTGCTTTATATGCTATTTAGAACTAAGCAAGAAGACAACCTAAACAGCAAGATTTTTTGCTCAAAATTGCCAAATTTATTTTCTGCACACATACAGAACCTACTAGTGTTTGGGGATATGGCGTCTGACCATGGGTTTTGCATTTTGCAGCCCCGATAGATCATTTACTACTCCTTTTAAAAGAATTTAATAGTTACAGTGATGGTTAAAAATGTGTGATTTTAATTACTTAATTAAGTAATTACTTAATTACTTTTAATTATTCAATATGACCTAAAACATGCTCCACATACATTCTAAATTGAGTTAAATTATATAATAAATAAATTAAAGAAGAGAACCCAATTAAACAAAAACATTATAACAAAATAAGACATTACTTTTGTTCATTGTTTTATGTGCATTTTTTTTTAAATCCAAGTTTTCTACATGTTCCATGGAATGGAATAGTCTGTTCCATGCACATGTTTTGGGAGGGGATTAATTTGTTTGACCTTTTGTCATTTTTCTCTCTCTCATAACAATGCTATTTTATGTTTAGATGATGCATTTTTGCAATTATAGAGCAGAAAATGCTCATTTATATTTTTATGATGACACATGTTATATTCTAAGAAGAACTGGAAAAGAAAGATAATTATTTCTTCTGTTGCAAATTAAGTAAATCATCAAAGACACAAAGGTTAAAGAGGAGGCTATTTGCAATTTTTAAATATTGTGTGCTATTCACAGGGAGGGAAGAATAGTTGCAGCAATCAATCAACATCTCTAAATTTTGCCAAAATACTCCTTGAAACTTTTATACCAAAGGAAGCAGACTGGAACCTAAATACTGTATCCCAAATCGATTTCTGACCATCTGGCACTGGTTTGATACCAATTAAGATCAGGGAAGGAAAGAGACAGATCACAAATTAAAAGAATAAGTGAGCAAATTTTATTCATTTATTTATTTATGAAATTTATATGGCCACCCATCTCATGGAAAGTGACTCTGGGTGGTGTTCAACAATCAATGAAGGAATTCTTAAAACTCACTTACCAGCTGTTTGTTAAAGTTTTGCACACACTGTTCAAATTGCTCATCTTTTGTTTCATCAGCTTTGCCAAGTTTCTGGAGGACCTATAAAAGCACATAAAAAAAAGAAGCAAGAGAATGTTTACCACCGCATAACCACACAAAAAACAATATTTTTGTTTATTTTAAACAAAAATAACCAAAAAAGTAGGAATGGGAAGTAGGAAGAAGTGCAGTTTAGGTTAAGTGCAGTCTATTCAGCTGTAGAGCAGATGCTCCAATTACAGTCAGTGCAGAGGCCAGTTCAAGATTTTGACCAGACTGGACAGTCATTACAACATGAAAACAAGGGGAAGATGATCCAAAGGCCCAGTTCAGAACAAGATAACATCACAGGTTTTGAGGGAGGTCTCTTCAGTGTATTTATGAGCTCATCCTTTCAAAATGATTGGTGCAAAACTCAACTGAGAGTTTAACATTCTTCTTAACCAACTTTATTTTCTGCTAAAGTAAAAAGAAAAAAAATAGCCAATAAGAGCAATGGGGCAGAACCTACCCCTTTTATCCATCTACATTCCATGACAGGAGAAAACATGTGGCCTTTCAGATGTTGTTTTCAGGAGCCAGCCTGCTGACCGATAATGAACATTGCTGGAAATTCTAATTTAGCAACATCTGGAAGGCAATCAGTTTCTCTTCATCTCTGCTTTCTATAACATAAAGGGAAAACTGTGTGGGCTACAGGTTTTAAATTAAATTTATTTGCTGAAATTTAATTAGAGAGGCATGAGACTGAAATTCAAAAGAATAGAAAGCAATGCAATCCTGATCCCTCTGCAAAAGCATCAGGACATTTTTTCCTACAAAATAGTTCTTTTGTGAAATACAGAAGAATTGAGTTCATATGCAGAGCACAGAGTTATCACACTTGGATTTATGTGAATTGAATACATTTCTGTCTAGGACTAGAAATAGCCTCCGGAGACTCCTGTCATAGGGACATGATTCTGTCATCAGGAAGGACCAGAATAAACATGGCAATCAGCCAGGCCTCTCTTAGCATTGAGAGACCCTTTTTAACAATGCAGTTCACACACCATTTGAGGCAAAGTAAAATTTAATCAAGACACTTCATTTATCAGCCATTTCTTATTAGTGCTCTTTGTATGGAGTCAAGTGTGCTGCTGCTGTCATGGCGGGTGGCCTACAAAAGCTAACTCAGAGCTGGCTGCCTGGCTGTCTTGAATGACTGCACAGACACAAGCAATAGTAGCCACAGTGTCTGTTGTTGACTTTAATTGCCTCCCCCTTCCCTTCCATACACTGAGTGATAGCTTTATACATTATCTTGAATGACTGCTCAGACACAAGCAATCGTTAAATGAACATATAATCTATTTTGTATACATTCCAAAAACCAATACATGTTAAACATATAAGGAAAGGTTGATGGAATTTGGTATGTCTAGTTTAACGAAGAGAAGGACGAGGGGGGACATGATAGCAGTGTTCCAATATCTCAGGGGCTGCCACAAAGAAGAGGGAGTCAAGCTATTCTCCAAAGCGCCTGAAGGCAGGACAAGAAGCAATGGATGGAAACTAATCAAGGAGAGAAGCAACCTAGAACTAAGGAGAAACTTCCTGACAGTTAG